TATCATGACCTCCATTTTATAGTGTCCCTGAATTTCAGCAGGATGGTTGATAAACTCCCTCAGTATGTCCTTGTAGACAAGGAGGAAAGATTTGTGCTGCATGATAGTGAAGTTAGTTGGATTTAGAATTGGTTGAATGATTTGACCCAGAGTTGGACCAAGGCCTACCAGAAAGAACAACAGAGGGCTAAGGATTCCCCTCAGATCAAGTATATTGGACAAAGAGAATTTTGCAGTGACCTTTAAAAAAATGCTCAATGTTTTTCTTCTACAAACAAGTAAATTTTTACCTATGATCAAGGTGACTAGCCATATAAGCACCTACTATGTTCTAGATACTACCAAGTACTTAACAGATATGGTCTCATTTGATCCTCACAACAACCCTGTTAAGTAGGTGCTATCATGACCTCCATTTTATAGTTAAAGAAACTGAGGCAGACAGAGTTAAGTGGTTTTCCCAAGGTCACATGGCTAATAATGTCTGTGATTGGATTTGAACTCAGGTCTTCCAGACTCCTGGCACAGTGGATAGAGAAGAGGGCCCAGGACAAGGCACCAGGGGTTTCCCATGTTAAGGAAGCAGGAGAAAGATGATGATCAAACAATAATTCAGCAATGATTTTGGCAGACTAGAAATGTGAGGGAGAATCTGTGGATTTATTGGTAATCTAACAGTCTATCAAGATGAATTCAACTGGGGCAGCTAGGTGGCCAGTGGATAGAGCTCTGGCCTTGGAGTCAGGAGGACTTGAGTTCAAATCCGACCTCAGACACTTGACACTTACTAACTGTATGACCCTGGGCAAGTCACTTAACCCCAATTGCCTAAGCAAAAAAAAAAAAAAAAAGATGAATTTAATTCAGATTCTATGACTCAAAACTGCATTTCTAGCCCATTCATTAGGAGACATGGAACTTCCACAGGATCCTGTTTTACAGAATTTTTAGAAGAAAATGCCTTAAAACGTCACATAAACATCAGCTCTTGTTGTATGATATTATTACTGCGAGGTTGGGAACTTATCTCCCTTCTTCTGCTTTGCACCCCTTCAATAATGAGTACTGGAAATTGTTTTAGGTATGATGAATCTTGGCCTCTGGTGCTGAATGTTCAGGAGCTCACAATCTGTGAACTTCTGAGAAGTATCTGGCTAATGGAATGATGAATGTGGAAGGTTTGAAGAACAAAAATTAACTAAGTTCCATCCCCAACATTTAGCATAGTGCTTTGCACATAGTTAGCACTTGACAAACATTTCATTTATTTATTCATTCATTGATGTCCATATGGATAAGATTGTTAACTTACCAATAATCTAAGATTGGATTGCCTGGAAAATTCAGAGAGTAAATAAAGAGCCATTAAATTATTATGAAAGGAAGAAGTTTCCATGGGTTTGTCCTGTTATTAAAGTTATTAAAGTACACACTGGTGACCAAAGAAAGGTCACCGGAAGTTTACTCAGTGTTGGGAAAGCAATTTTTACTCTTGTTGGCACATTAAGCACCAGTCTTGGCATCTTTCTAAAACCCCTGCCTATGGCAATAAGGATTGCAAAGGATTAAGAATGGATAGCCCCATAAGCAGTAGTGTGTGGCCCCCAATTGTCAAAAGGAAGAGACCATGCCTTCCTATCCCAACCCTTTCTTGTATCCCTAAGGGGCCATTCATTGCTTCCTAAGGGAGATGTTCCATGTTAAATAACTAATTCAGGCTGGGTGATGACTTCTTTTCCACAGTCAGAAAAGTTCCATTGTCATCAAAGTGCTGGGATAGGTCTGTAAAGGAGCCAAGGGTTTTGGACAGTAGCAATCTGCTGCTGCCGCCAGTGCTATTGAGTTATTCTGTAGAGTGGTTTTGTGTTTTTCTTTTCTGGTGTCTTTCCAAAGAAAATGCAGTGTTATTCATTATAGCACTCATTGGCTTTTCCCCTTCCCCAATTGGTTTACTGAAAATAAAATTATAAAACTAGATGGAAAAATGACATGTAGTAACCATTAGAGGAAAAATAAAGGAGAAAATTTTCTGAAATGATTTGTTTTGAGAGAGAGATTGGTTAAGAGATGCACTGAGAAGTTGCCTCCTCGAATAATTCCTGCCCTCTAATAGGAGAAGCAGATATTTCTGAGATTATGAGTTGGATTCCAAATTCTTAATTTAGACACTTACTGAATCATAGAATTTATACAGATTTAGAGCTGGAAGGGACATCAGAGGCTGAAGTTCAGAAAAAAAGGAAAAAAATCAAACAACTAGTTCATTAAAAAGTAATGATTCCCTGACTCCCAGTTCATACTATTCCCATTGATTTCTTTATTACTTAGAGTATAACCATTTGGATGATTACCATCAACATATCCTCTTTAATGCAGACTTCTTGAATCCACAAACTTAACTAGAGAAATAATTCAGTCTTTTGCAAGAAGACTGAAATATGAGAACTTAGTCTTTATCCTGTATCCTGTTTGTTGTTGTTCAAATTGTTTTTCAGTCATTTCCGACTCTTCATGATCCCATTTGGGGTTTTCTTGGCAAAGATACTGGAATGGTTTGCCATTTCTTTCTCCAGTTCATTTTACAGATGAGGAACTGAGGCAAACAGGCAAGTGACTTGCACAGGGTCACACAGCTGGTAAGTTTCTGAGGCCAGATTTGAACTTGGGAAGAGGAGTCTTCCTGACTCTAGGCCTTGGTGTTCTATCCACTGTACCACCTGGCTGCCCCAACTGTTGCTGGCAGCATTGGCTAAATCACTGAAGAGATATATGGTTGTTTTCATTATCCAGCCTCCTAGCTGGTTCTAAAGGGTGAGGTAATCACTCATTTGTCAAGAAATTCCAGAAGATCATCTCATCCAGATAGGTCAGATTCTGTGTTGTTGTCCACACAATAGCAACTACATCACTAGTAAGAATAAGAGTTAGCACCTCCATAGTGCTTTAAAGTTGAAAATTGCTTTACATAGTTCGTTTGATCTCACAGAAAGTCAAGTTCTTTCTTATGGCTAATTTACTAATTCTCCTGCAACTAAAACTTATTTCCTCTTTGATCTTCATTGCAGATGGGGAACATCTGGCCCCAGACAACATAATTCCTGTAAAGTGTTTTAAAGTCCTTAAATGAGGAATGTTAGATAAATATTTATTTTTTATTTATGTCTAAAAAAATGTAGCTTTCGAAGAATATTCTAAAATATCACTTGAGTGTCTCTTGGATATAAAATTCTGTTATGTTATTGACTTCAGCTTTTAGAGTCTGGACACACATTCATTTAAAATTCCTTAACTCCTAAGTTTTCTTACTTTTATTTGATAGTTCCTCCTAATGCCCTTCTCCTAATAGTTAGTTGACTCCACGCAGGAAAATATGTTAAGAGAACCTCTATGAATCCATGAAAGGGTTGTGACTTGGAATGAATCCAATATGCCCAAACTGGGTACGGTGGGGGTGGTGGAGGGAAGGGGTGTCATTCCCTTCTCTTCTGGGAAAAGGCCTCAATCTAGCCAGGAGAGGGCAGTGTTGGACATAGTGTCCCATTGGCTCACAGTAGTTTACCATGATGTTGGATGTCTAAGTTGGACCCCTAACACTTGGGTAGTAACATTTGTTAGTATAAAGTTTCAAGTAATAGCAAGAAAGGGGATGGTGTTCACAGGCGAACCCCAGGCTACTTTCTTTGAAGTTCTTCTAATAAGCCCAAACCTTAGATCTTCTGAGGTGATAATTGCTTCATCTTTATTGCCTTCCTTTAATTCAACTAAGCCAGTAGAATATTTCTTTTTAACTTTCCTGAAAGATTAAGGGGAAAATAATATTAACCCCCCCCCAACTTGTCAGAACTCAAAATGATCAGTTTACTCTTGGGTAGGGCTGCTTTTTGGTTTACTATGTTCTTATTTCTCTGTTTTCCAAAGTCTCTATTTTATCGGTAGCTAGCATGGAGTTTGAAATTAGGTACCGTTCCATTTATTTTATTTGTTATCCTCAGCACCAAGCACAGTATCTGGTATATAGTAGATGCTTAATTTGTGATTGTTGATTTTTTAAAATAACGGTTTGATAATAATTATAGCTCACATTTATGTAGCACTTACTTATGTGCTAGATACTATCCTAAGCACATTTGCAATTATTATCTCTGATCCTCACAACAATGCTGAGAAATAGGTGCTATTATTATTATCCCCATTTTATAGATAAGGAAACTGAGGCAGGCAGCAGTTAAGTGGTTTGCCTAGTCACACAGCTGGTAAGTATCTGAGATCATATTTGAACTCAGGTCTCCCTGACTTCAGTCTCAGCACTCTATCCACTTTATCACCTGGCCATCCCACTGATGGTCATATGATGAAATGAACCAAAGTAAGAAGTGGCCACGTTCCCAAATAAATATCAGATCAAGTCTTGCCCAGGGTTAGTTCTTTATAGTAGGTAGCTCTCTGGAACTCAAGTCTGGTTTGCTTGGAGTAGTATGGTAAGAGGAAATGAGTTATTGTTATGAGCACTGGACTTGAAGTCGGAAGAGATTTGGGTTTGAACCTGGCTCTCTGTCACTTGCCTGTGACCCTGGGAAAGTCAGGATGGTACAATGCAAAAAAGCATTGACTCAGGAACTTGGGTTCAAATCCTGCTTCTGACATTACCAATGTGACCTTGGGGTGATTCCCTTGCTTTCCCTGGACCTTAGTTTCTTTATCTCCAAAATGAGATATTTGGACAAAATGACTTCTGAGGTCTCTTCCAGATCAAGGTCTTTGACCTCTCCTCAAAACTTATTTTTCTCATCAGTAAAATGGGAATAATGATACTTGCACCATATACCTCCCAAGATTGTTATGAGGAAATCGTTCTGTTGACATTAGAGTATAATAGATCTCAAAATGTGATTTAAAATTTAAAATTTAAATTTAAAAAGTGATTTTAAAATTCGAGGCTAAGAATGTGCTTCCTGGGAAAGGGCTTCTGGAAATTCACTTTAATTCATTCTTTGCTGCAGCTCATGTGCTCATCGGTGCAGAAGGCCCTCTTTGAGGAAGAAGACCACGTGAAGAAGCTGCAGCAGAAGGTGGCCACTCTGGAGAAACGGAACAAGCAGCTTCGAGACAGGGTGAAGAAGGTCAAGAGATCCTTGCGCCAGGCAAAGAAGAACGGCCGTCGCATGGAGCTAATGAACCGCAAACTTAGTGAGAAGCTGTCCTCCCCAGTGGGTCAGATTCCTCATATCAACTCCCTAACACAGGAGCACGCCCATGCTAGCTACCTTAAAGTGTAACTCAAGATGCTGCACCCCAAAGCCAGTCCTCTGATGCTGTGGTCTTGGAAGTTGTCACCACTGGGAGCTAGAATGGTTGCTGGGCAGCCTCAAGCTAGTGGAGCTTGGGTATCATACTTTTGTATCAAAGGGGCATTGAAAATTAGGATAGTTTATATATGTATATATTTTTAAATATCATAGAAGATATTTTTTATTGCACCTTTGGTATAGCCTAATTTTCCTCAGAACACAGAATCAGCCCTACTTGTGGGTTGCTGGCCTTCCTCTCCTCAATTCAGTTCAATTAAACAGACATTTATTAAGCATCTGTCATGTACAAGATACATAAGTGCCAGAAATATGGCAGTGAAGAATGACAGTCTGTGCCCTTGAAATTAACACACACACACACACAGCCAACTGTAGTACAAGTTAGAATATGATTAAGTGTATAGGAAATGTCAAAGAGAAGCATGAGAGATTCAGAAAAGGACAGATCACTTCTTACTGGGAGGAATCAGGGAGATTATGGAAGAAGAAGCTCCTGAGTTTAGCCTTGAAGGAAAAGAATTCTTTTTTCTGTTCTCTTTCTATCTTTCTTTCTCTTTTCTTTCTATTTCTCTCTTTCTCTCCCCTACTCCCTGCCTTTCCCCTTTCTCTTCCTCTCTCCTTCATTCATTCCTTCCTCTTTCTCTCTCCCTCCCTTTCCCTTTCTCTTATTCCTTCCTTCCTTTTCTTCCTTCCTTCCTTCTGTCCTTCCTTCCTTCCTTCTTTCCTTCATTCCTTCCTTTTCTTCCTTCCTTCCTTCCTTCCTTTTCTTCCTTCCTTCCCTTTCTTTCCTTTCCCTCCCTTTTCCTTTCCCTTGCTCTTCCTCTTTTCCTTTCTCTTCTCTTTTCTGAACTAGGCTGAAAGTATAGCAGTCATTCACCATCCTGATTTCAATCAGCTCAGAAGTTCTATCCACCTCAGTCTTTCTGACTAGGGGCAGTGCATCCCTCTTTAGGCAGCCTGGTGGCTCTCTGTCCCCAGCGGTCCACCGTATTCATTCTTGACTTATCATGGAAACTATACCAGATTTAACCCTCCTACTACAGCTCAGAATTCTCAAACTCAATTGATGTCCAGGCTCATTCTCTCCAATAGCACAGACTATGGGCATCAACCACTACTCCCGGAGGAAAGGATTTCAATTAGCAGAGATGGAGAGAATGGGCATCCATTCTAAGCATGGAGGATATGCACGTAAAAATACTTTTCATCAGATGCTCTCCTGTATATATGGCTCTATTACTATTGTCTAACCATGTTGAGGGTAGAATGGCAGTCCTCTCAGACACAGACAAGTAAGATTGCAAGCATAAATTCATACTTTCAGATCTTGCCTCATCTTCTACTACAACCCATATATAGAATTAATTGCCTCTCTCCTTAAGCTTGAAAATGAGAATGATCACTTTTTGGGGAAGTGGTTAGAATGGATTAGGGTTCCGGTAATGAGTTGGACTAATTAGCATCTGAGAGTGCTTCTAACTGAGATTCTGAGAAGTATATTTCATGATCTCTAGACTTACAAAAATATTGAAATAGTGGGATTCATCCTTTACTCAAAAAAGAATTAGTGTGCTTCCTTGGTCAAAAGATTGAATTTTAGTCCGCACCCTGACCCTAACTTATCATTTGACCATGAGCTAATCATTTAATTCAACAAATAGTATATGCTAGATGCACTGTTCTAGGCACTAGGAATACAAAGGCAAGTATTAAATAATCCCTGCCTGCAAGATGGCAAGGTCAGGGCACATACAACATATTTTCTGATAGGTACATGAAAGGTCACTTATATTTAGGGAGAGAACACTAACATCTTGGGAGGGGGATTCAGGGAAGGGTTAAGCTAAGATCTGGTATCTGGGTTGAGTTGAACCAATGAAAGCAGTTGAAGATTCTTGGAGGTACATAGGAGGAAGGAGTAAATGCCATATATGGGGGATAGCATTTGTAAATGCACAGAGTATATACATCCTGGTGCCTCAATTTTCTCATCTGTTAAGTGGGATAGTAAACATGTTTAAGTCCCTAGGTCCTATACCTACCATCACATATAGACACGCATATATCATTCCGTAGCAGTAAGACTACTTCTTTCTGATATGTCATTAAAACTAAATGATTCCACTATAGGTGAGAAAAAGAACAAAGTAGGGGACATAGGTGGATAATTAACTGAGATTAACTGCAGGTGAGTTCCAATACCAACTACCAATGAGTTAAAGATGATATCTGTACTAACAGCCTTAATGTCGTAAGAGTTAAGGCCCCTTATTGAACCAGAGCCTTGAAATCAGTGATAGAGAAGAAGTGGTTGAGGCAACATGGCAGAGCATATTAAGAGTTGGCCTCAGTTATGAAGACCTGAGTTCAAGTTTCACCTCTGACACATAGTGGCTATCTGGTGCTGGGCAAATCCTAACCTCTTATTGCCCCTGGTTGGTTGGCTGGTTGTTGTCCTTCATTCTCTAAGAGGATCAAAATGACATCGCTATGTTGGGATCAAGGTACAGTGTGCCCAACTGTGACTGATCAGACTAATATGAACTCAGAAGGTCTACCTTCTCCTACCACAGGTTGGGTACAAATAGTCTGTATGAATATTTGGAATGGAGATGCCTCTAAACTTGGGCATCTCATGTGTCTTTTGAGCTACTGCAATTCTGCTTTGCTCACAGAGCACAGCACCTTCTTTGATGTGGGCATGCCATGCTGGGCAGTCCTTTGCCAGTGTACCCCTAGGCAGTACTCTAAGATGTACTCTAAGTACTCAAAATGGCAGAAAGGTGCTGATCCACCTTGGTACTGATAGTCCTTTACTAGGAGTTCTCTACACTGGTGAAACAATAAACAACAATTTGTTGTTGCTGTTCAGTCATTTTTTAGTCATATCTGACTTTTCATGACCCTATTTGGGGTTTTCTTGGCAAAGATACTGGAGTGGTTTGCAATTTCCTTCTCCAGCTCATTTTACAGATGAGGAAACTAAGAGAAAATGATTAAGTGATGTGCCTAGGGTAACACAGCTAGTAAGTGTCTGAAGCCAGATTTTAACTCAGAAAGGTAGTCTTCCTGACTCCAGGCCCAACCCTCTATCCACTGCACCACCTATTGCCCAACAACAACAACAACAAAATCATAATCTTTCCATCAATGGATTCCATATACACATGGCTCCAGTTAGTATGTGAAGTGTTCCATGCACCCCCAATTTAGGAAGAATGTATAACATCTTTGGAGCCTCATTATGTTTTTGTTTGCTTTATTGAGGATTCTTCCTTACAATGAAAAGAAGTGAACTCACCCAACAACATCCCCTTAGGCTCAAAACAGTCTTCTCAGGACCTTCCAGGATGGTAAAGTAGCAGTGCCCACCCTACTCCTATTCTTAAGACTTTTGCATGGGAATTTTTTCTCCTTGATGACTCTCTGTTCTACCAGATACATGCACACATCCATTTGAAATCTCCTTCAATATCTATGTAAGATCACTTTATGTATGTCTCCCCAGAGGGCTAATTAGTAGCACAGTTCTGCTGGTGAACTCAAGTATTTTCTACGTTTCTATTATTTTATTCATTTAATTTCTTTGCCTGAAAAATGCCTGAATTACTAGATAATGAGGTGCTGACTTTATGCATATTTGATGAAGCTTCCATTGTTCTATTAAGATGCAAGATTTATAACTGATTCTTAGTCATTGTCTGAGTATGGGGTCACATCACCATATATGTGAATACATGTTGCTTCCTCAGCCCTTGGCTATGCCATTGATGGAAGTTATGAGAGGGGCTGATGATTCCTACCATGAGAAAAAAATTTGTCTTCCGGACAACACACAGTCTTTTCTGTTCTAAGTAGACATTGCAATGGGAATTCCATTCTCTAGAGTACTGTTCAGATGCAGATATAGCCAAGTGCCTCTGAGGAATGGCCAGCATCTTGGACTACAAGAATGGAATCACTTCATTTGGCCAAGACTAGCCATATTTCTAAGTATCTTCCGTCACTTGATTCCAAGTTTTCTCCATAATACAAACACTTTCAAAACAGTCGGTTGAGAGGGTTTAGATTCCTATTACTTTTTCTTTTTTCTTCTTGGGGACATTATATTAAATCAACTGAATCCCATGGGTGGTTTCTTGCAGTTACTTGGTGAGGTACAGACGTAGGGACCTAATGGATACTTGGTATTTTGTGCTTTTTTTTTCAATAAATATATGGAGTAATTACAAGTTGCAGCTGTAAGGTGATATGTTTCTTTTGGGTCACAAAGTCTCTAGGCTTTCAAGCTTTACATAAGAAAAAAAAATCAACCCAGACCTTATTGGAAGAGTCAGATCAGTGGGGAGCTGAGAATAATAGCAGAGGGATCTGAGGATCAGAATTTCTGACCTCAACCAATGGCTCTCTCCATGACTCAATCTCTGAGCTAACAAAACCGATGCCCATTTCTGTCCCTGCAAAAAAAAAGTTAGTGCCAACCTTTACCTGACATCCACAGGGACAAACTACTTCATTGCTCACTGTTTGAAAAGTACACAGAGCTCTTGTGCTGAGAGCAACTATGTAAGTACAAGGTATTATTGTGCATTGTCAACTCTCCACCCCCAGGCTTTGTCATCTGCTAATAGAACACTAGTGTATAGTCATGTTTTGCCATTTGCCTAGAATCACCTGGCACTTTACACACAACCAGCTTTCTCTAGAAATATCCCACAGAGGCAGGATGTTGGTACAACTCCTATTATGTGACGATGGATAGTTCAAGTGGTTTGGCCAAAGTCACACAGTAGTAGTAGTAGTCACACAGTTCAGTAGAACATAAGAGTTCTAGACCCTAGTTGAATGCTGAGTTCATTGCCCCCTAGTACTCCACCCCCACCCCTAAGGGCATACTTTCTACTTGCTAAAGATAATTAATTCATGTCCCACAACTGCTTCTTCTTATGTGGTTTTATATGTCTGAATGTGTTCAAGGACTAACTGCAGTCCTTATCCCCTTTATAAACAAGGCCAAGTCTGCACTAAAAAGGAAACCAAGGCTCACACCACATATCTAGAAACCAGAACTATTACTTCAATAATCTACAATCTCCTTTGTATTCTTGGGTACCTAGAAATGAAATCAGTGCTTAAGTCAGAGTAAGGAAGAAAGCTTGGGAGCATAGGTTTGGAGCTAAAATTGTAGGTGATGTAATCTCCATTAGAATGTGAGCTTCTGAAGAGCAGGGAGTGTTCTGCTTTCCTATTTGTATCTACAGTGCTTAGCATAGCGCTTTGCCCGTGGTGCTTAATAAATACTATTTAGATGCTTATATAAATGCTTAATAAATGTTATTTCATTCATTCATTCATTCACATTCTTTCCAATTACTGTGAATCTAGAATTTGGTAACATAATATGAAGGCTTTTTATTCAGCCTTTAATGGGACTGTCAGAAAATCAAGATAATCGGGGGGCATGAAAAAGAAAAAAAACAAACCTATGTGTATTTTCCTATCTCTTCTTTTTATGTCTCTTCCCCCAATGAGAAATCCTGCCTCTGCCTTGGCCTGTAACAGAAGAATATGAGTTAC